CGCTCTAGTACTGGACCCAGTACTGCAGGTGTGGCTGTACCAGTGCTGGGTGGGTCGAGTTCTATTTGTGTTTTGAGGGCTTCGATTGCAGCAGAGCTCAAGGTGGGTTAAGCATCCAGTCTTTAAAGGACATCTGACCATGTCTGGGTAAGAGTCAAGGAATGTTTCAGCAAAGCAAAGTTACTTTTTTTTTTCCTTTCTTTCTTTTTTTTTTTCTTTTTTGAGGAGGCTCAGAGGGAGAATCAGCTCGGTATGTCCATTTGGAGCTCCCGTGAGATTATTTTTCACCTGGAGAATTGTGCTCTGCTGGGGGAATGAGCAGAAGAGTCTCCCACAGAGCTTCAGGGGGAACCAGCCCTGGGTGGGCAGCGGGGGCTCCGTCTTCATCGCTTCTGGCAGCCCCCAGCAAATGAAGGCCTCTAGTGGCTATTCTAGATAATGGCCATTGCTTGCTGTAGCTGACTGATGTGCAGCTGGAGAGTCCCCTTCAATTCATAATTTTAAATGTATATCTACGTGATCATGTCTGCTCACAAATGATATATTATTCTGATGTTATTTTTATAGACACATATCTTCCAATGTAAGAAACAAGAGAATGAAAGGTTAAACTTCACACTGATTTTTTATTTTCTGTATTATCAGTGAATGGTGGTGAACTAGTAACTTTTCCTGAAATGTGCAGGGCAGTAATATCTGCAAACCTGTGCTGAGAGAGAGACAGAGAGAGAGAGAGGGAGGGGAAGAAAAAAAGAGAGAGAAAAGGTTGGTTTTGGAACGGGAAAATAGAAGCACATCTCTAACATCATATATTAACCTTATTAAATGGTAACATACGTTGTGTTTACATTTAGACAGACAAGACAGTATTTAATGAAAATGTAAGTGAAAATAATTTGAAGTACTCTTCTTGTCCAACACCATCTCTTTTTGGTTAATATGGATTGGACACATGAACCAATGTATGGCATTTAGCTAAATTGCTCATTTAGTTTTATTATTATGCATATTGCTTTACTGGCAATGTAGAGAGAAAATTGAGCATGATTTTCATAAACAGATTTCATAAAGAAATTACATTTTTATTTGATAATTTTTCAAATTAATTTCAGGCAGTTTAGCTTGTTCAAGAAGTGGGACGAAAGCTTACAAGCTTAGTCTTCCCTAACACGCAAAATACATTTATAAAGCAGACTAAATAATATCGTGCATCTTAAAATAACATAAATATTTGCAGGTCCATTGACAAAATATTTGCATAAATTAAAAAGGAGGAAGATGCAGAACAGTTTGACTTATGGAGCTGAGAGCATTGCCTCATGATATAAGATACTGTGATGGGTGACCTGTGTGTAGACAAGTCAGTGGGTCAGCAGAAGTTCCATTCACTCTTTCAGCTGCACTTGCAGGAACGATGCTTAGGCCAGATTCTGTAAAATGTGAAACAGCAGGAAAAAATAATAAGTACCTTTTTTTTTCTTGTAACTTTGCATTGTGAATGCTGACATTGGCATTGATTAAATGTACGTAACAGAACTTCAAGCAATTTTATTTCTTCAGTATGTCTAGGACAGCAGTTCACTTTGTTATCACTGAAGTTATAACGCCGGAGAAGCAGCACAATGACATTTTCTTCCTTGGGCACATTTTTGCAGACAACATTTTCTTGTAAACATATTTAGACGCAGTTTGTCAGAAAATTTGTGCTGAACAGATTTTCTGTTGGAAAATGCTGATTGAAATGGAAATGCCTTTAGAAATAGGCTATATTTTATTAGTACAATATTGACATGTGCAACATTGATATGTACAATATTAAAAGCAAAAACACACTCTTAAAAATTAAATCTATTCAAATATACTGTTTCCCAAAAAATTCTGAGCTTTCAGCTTCTTCTGTTTTCCTCAGATACATCAGGATTTGGAAGTCTTTAAATTTTCCTGGGCTGAGAGTCCATAATACAAAGTACAAACAAATACCTGAATTGTCTATTTAAAATTTTCTGTGTATAATTCAAATTTACCAAACTCAAAGGAACTTCAAAAAGCAACATGAATTTTTCACTTTTAAAATAATGTTCTAAAGGAAGATTCAGTCCAGACCTTGGCAGCAACATGGCTATTACCTTCAATCCTACTCATTGCTGAGGCATGATACAACACTGAGCCAGTGCTGATGTTTTTCCCTATATAAAATGTCACTGACATCCATTCTAGCCATGAGATAAGAGAATTTACAGATGTTATTCAAGATGAATAAGGTACTTTATTGTACGTCTCCCCTGAACAGGGGGAAATAGGCACAGTTAGGTGAGGTGATGAGAGGTTTGGGTCCTTTATTGGTCCTGTAGACTCATGGTAATTTAGGACCCATTCTTTATAGGGAAGATGAAGGATGAAGACCCATGAACCCTCTCTAGAACAATTTTAATAAAAGTAATAAGGCTGTAGCACATGGCAAATTACACATACAAAAAGGATGCTAAAACTGTCAAGCTAAGTACTCACAGATCAGAAAATGTGGGCATAATATTTGTCCTTGCCTGTTGATGAGCACTGTAACACAGTCCTTAATTCCATAATTCTGTAATCATATACTTTGATCCCAGACCCATACATCCCCAGGACCTTTCCTCTTGTTCAGTGTACAGGAGAGATCATGCGCATTTCATAAACAGCCTTACAGCATCTTGTTTTGCCCCTGTTCTTCAGCCTGTCAAGACTACCTATGGCTTTATTTGTCCAGCAGCCCTTTCAGGAGATGTGAAGGTGTTACCATTTCACAGACAGGCCATGAAAACTCATCACTCAATCAACAGAATTATTGAAAGGTTTGATCCCTCCAGGACCTGGACTAAGATGAGAGAAAACAAGAACTGGGAGCGCCCATTAAACAGGAGCAGGGTTCACTTTACCGTGGCAGATACTTGGCACCCATGTTCCTGGCTTCGAGTGGGAAGGACCCCCCTCAGCCGTAGCTAGATCACAGACAAGACTTAGGTTTTTCCTATCCCGGGTGATCTATTTTCTTGGTTTTAAAAGAAGAAACACTTCTAATTGTGGTTTTCTCCTTTCCAAGCAATTAACTATTTCAAACAGCAGTCTAGGAAACTTTGTTCTGCTTCTTGCATGTTTCTACACATCAGGCATGTTGGCCCAATGGCTAAAAGGACATGAGCAATGGCTGTGTTCCAAACTGGAACATTGGAAACTCCACCTCAACATGAGGAAAAACACCTTTACTTTGAGGGTGGCAGAGCACTGGAACAGGCTGCCCAGAGAGGCGGTGGAGTCTCCTTCTCTGGAGATATTCAAAACCTGCCTGGATGCATTCCTGGCCAGCCTGTTCTAGGTGAACCTGCTTTGGCAGAGGAGTTGGACTAGATGATCTCCAGAGGTCCCTTCCAACCCCCACCAACCTGCGATGTTGTGATTCTTAGGGGCGGTACTCACCCCCTGTGGGGCAAAACCCACGGTTTAAATTTTACTTCCACGTGGGTGAGTGCAGGGAGAACTACAGACAAGCAAAGAAAAAGCTGCACAACCTTGTCCGGGGGCACGGGACAGGGCCAGCTCCAGGACAGGGGCTATTTCAGTCACGGCTCCTGAGGACAGCCTGTCAGACAGATGCGTTGGCTCGTACCGAGCCGCAGGCCCACGCTGCAGGAACGGCTCCAATTGCCATAGAGCACATCAAAAACAATGCACCACAGCGCGTCTGGGCTTCCCCCATCTCTCCCG